TGATATAAGACGCAATAGTATGAGCAAGGTACCCACCAAAGACAACGGAAACTGATTGTGAAATATCGTGCATCGATTGAAGTTACACTTGTACATCATCGGATCCCGAGTCAATAGCCTAGATTTTTATGGTTCGCGCGCGAAACCAAAGGCCGTGGATTAGACTTACGCTTGTGGGACCGTAGAAGCGCACTGCTGAGAAGTTCCAGACTAGGATGAATCGACCGTCCAATCTTTTACAATTTTCAGTGGTTGTCTAAACTAGAGTGATTCATGATTTCGAAAAAAATATTGCTTTAACTGAAGCATTTAGGACATTACAGTGAGCATTTCCAAGATGATTTACGTCAAAATGTATTGTCACCACAATACATTCAATGGCTGACAGACTGCTTAACACGTTACTGACGAGAATTTCGGTGATGATAATACGCTTCAAATAAACGTGAAATATGAAGAAAAAATAGATTGAGATCGTGATTTGATCAATGTTGGACCACCTTTGAAAACCTGGAGGCACTGGACGGTTGTTTCGTCCTAGTATGGAACTCCTCAGCAGTGCGTGTCCATAATCCGACACACGGGATTTGAACCCAAGACCTTCGGTCCCACGCGCAAACATTGATCTACTCATGGCCTCAGTCAAAACTCAACAATTTCCACAACAGCATAATGAAAATAAACGGACTTCAAAATATAAAGCTGAGTTAATATTGTCTAATTTTTGAGTAGGAAGCGGTAAATGATTTTACAAGATTTACTATTTTTAAGTCACAGATCAAAAATTGCAGCAGCGATTACCTATTGTCAAATATATGGAGAAAAACACTGGAGCACCTAAATGTTAACGAAACTGAAAAGTGTAGCTCATGGATTTTATAAATTTCTGATAAATAGAGAACGGTACAGCAATAAATTTAACAAGGCACCAAGAAAGTGGGCAAAACTTTTTCAAGTAACAGTAGACGCTTTTCCAGTCTTTTACCAATAAATTAGTATTGTTTTACATCAAACCAATCAAAATGTTATTTATAAATTTGATGCATGGTAAAAATAATGAAAGTTAGTTGTCCTGAGATGTTGCATGGGTTTACAATTCTTTAGATATAACTAACTGTACAGTATTGTGAATCAGTACAGATGATATAGATTTACACTAGAACAAATAACTGATAGATTAGTAACATCTACCTGAAACTAACTATATTGCAGGGCAAATTAGTTGTTTAATTTATTGAAAATATCCTACGGAAATTAAACTCATGTTTAAAATATCAATTAATACACAATCTACACGAACTGAGATAAATTGTGATCGAGAAAAACGAAAACTATGAAGGTAATGACGTTCGACTTCCATCTGTAAGAGGAAAATATCACCTGAACAAGCATTGATAATTTTAAAAATGTAAAGAATCGTCTCATCATAATTAGTACACCTTAATAGTATACAGAGCAAAGATGGGCAGTATTTACTCACCTACAAAACTGAAAGTTGACGGTCGAACTCCCCTGCCCGATTCAGTCAATGCAGTGGGACTGTCATGTAATGAAGATATTCATCAACCCCAGACCAGTAGCTACAGATTAATATTCAACTAGTTTAAAAAATATAGTTAATTTTAACTGTGTAGTTATTTACTCAATGACGCTACCAAACGGAACATATGGGGAAAATTTCTTCAGTGCCTTTCCTCGTGTTATTAATGGCTAATAGAAAAAGCAAAACACTGATTATTTCTAACTATGAACAGCGATAATTTTATCCTGTATTGAAATGAACAGAAGTTGGCCCCTCCCCACAATAATACAAGAGCTTTTGACCGTTAGAAGTTTTTAATCGACAGAATTTTTAGTTTATTTCATTAAAAAAGGAAATCTTAAACGACTACTGCATGAGAACTCGGATTTTTCAGGATATTGCAACTCTGGATCAATAGAAATTTGTATCATTTGGTAGTATGTATTTAACCATTAGATCCAGATGATTTTGAAATAAAATCCTTCAAAATACACTGCACATTACAAGCGCTATTCCTCGCGAGTATCAAGATGTTTCATCAGTATTTCTTGTGATATGAGCGAGTGTCTGCTACTGAGATTTGGACTTCATACAGCCAGAGCGATTCAACGAATGTAAGTTTATCCGTCCAGTTAATCCAAATTACTGATTTAGACTGAGAGAAGTTTTATTTCGCCTCGGGGAAAATATTTAGGACAAGAGAAAAGCTGCGATAGAATACTGGTAATGTAAACCGTAACTTAATGTCTGAAATTGGAGATATCAATCCAAAGCCACATCAGTAGCATATTAATGGCTGGGTGAATATCGAAATCAACTATGTCCAAACCACAGTAGTTGAGGTAACTAAATAAAATTATTACAAGTATCAAACTCTTAGTTGATTGCAAATTTTCAGATAAAATAACTTATGTTGTGTATTTGATAGTCAGTAATAAAATATGGATATATCTTCCGGTCAGTGAACACAATTGTCACATTTAAATAAATATACACAACTTGTGTTGTTAGTAAGCAGGCATGATCAGCCTGCATGAAGAAGTGAGATAATGATCCATCATTTTTTAAATAATCGTGAGTTACTGGGCTAGATGTTAATGATTATACAACTTAGTGTTTTGAGATACTACGAGATATAACCAAGAATAGAAATTAGTAGCGATTAAAAGGTAGTCTATTACTGTGCTTCTAAAATGAACGAAATCCACGTTGATTTTTTGTATATTAAATTAAGCTTTTAATACTTCATGTCCTTAGTTTTATTTTCGGACTTCTAGTGTTTTATTTATTTACATTATTGTCGTTTGTTTTATAGTATACTGAACTATACCAAGGATACATATTATAAATTTCAGTTGAAATAATACTGAAAATATTGTCAGCAAGCCAAGCTGCCTATTTCGTGTGGACTAGTGACTTGCAGATTCGAAAAACGTTCTAACAAACAATTGTGAGGTATTCTATGAAAAAAAAACTAAAGAAATATTAATCAATACCTTAACTACTTATGTTATAATTACTAAGTGCAGCAAATAATCAACCAGTTGATTTTAAGTTTGAAATTAAGCTATTTTCGAACTTTAACAGACAGTTCCATTAGGGGTCAGTTTTTGAATAAAGCACGAGAATATTATTTTGCTGCTATCTGATATTCCAAATTATGAAGGAATTGATAGAATAGTGGAGATTTGTAAAATTAATAATATCATTTCTCAAAAAAAATTATTTTCAGTTAAAATGAGTACTAATGTCATCATAACAAGACCTATTTTTATAGTTGGAAAATTCAGTATGGATGACTGAAGGTAACACACAAAAGGATTTCATAAATTAGACAAAATTTTTGGTGGAGTCTGCAAAGTTGTTCATTAGAAATAGAAAAAGTACTACACAGATGATAATTCTTAAATAAAAACTGTATTCAATATACTTAATTGACAAGACACCCAAAATAGGGTTTGCTTCCATATGATCAGAAGTAATTTCAAACCAAGTTAGCTGATATTATGGAGTGGAATTTCACGCTACCAGGGAAACGCCACCTGATGATCCCAGTCAACCAACACACTAAACCTTTGTGGGAGCGTATTCGGTAAAGACCATAGAAAATGTATTTAACGCAAATATGTCAAGGAAAAATAATAAAATATGTTGTTCAAGTAGTATAAATGTACACACCACCCATGGTCTCCTAAGTCTAGGTAATTTGCACAACGATTTCAAGTGATCGAACTTTGGGCTTAACAACAAAACACTTGAAAAAATATTTCTGAATACCGGAAAAAACCTGGAGAGGACTGTTGGGGGGTTTAAATCATTTGAGAAAAGTAACTTCATGAAACGTTTTTGTCAAACATTTCTCAAAACGTTCAGAAGTCCTTTACAAGACAGATTCAGGAACAGCGAGACTCTGATCTGATAACTTTTGCTCCTGTCTTATTGACTGCATAAATAAAAACTAAATTCAAAACAATCACGGGGAAGCATAACTAGTAGCTCATAAAATTGTTTACGCGATTTTGTTAAAATAGTCAACAACCAAATAATGTACGAATGGTGTATGAGTAAACAAGCTTAGTTTTTAACCGGATAGCTTTTGTGGGCTAAATATAATTAAAAACAATGAACTAGTTTGCTGAAAAGTGTGCGTTATGTAATAAGACCTAAACAAAATAAGACGGTCGAAATCGGGAAATATACATCATCCATAACAATTCCGCCAAAAAGGAACTATTTGAAAAGTATGGTGAGAATCACTACACCGAATAAGCTAGATATTATGCGGAGCAAAACTTGATGATAATCAATAAGCAGAAACGAGACCGGTACTTTTTTATTCCAGCCCATCAACAATAGTTTTTAGAATAGCTCATCTACATCATTGACAGGTGTCAAGCACAAAACCTAATATGAACAGTTTAAGTATGATTGACATTAAATGTCAAACACCAGATACGATCCACGATCAACTGAATTCTAATAGTATTATAGATTGAAAGACTACATTTCTACGTTCAAGCCAATTTGTCTAAATAATATTCAACAAATATATTTGTTTAAGAAATTTAGGAACATAATCATGAAAATAATTCTTAAATGCATTCAATAAAAAAAATCTGTCTAAAATGCAAGTTGAAAACATTAGAAAAAGGCAAGACAAAACAATTCTTCAAATATAAAAGTTACTCAATAAAAGCAACAATAACAACAGCGTTTTACAACAAATAAGTGATCATTAAGACAAGACATTAAAAACAAAAACAACGACAATATTAACAAGTGACAGTATATAAAAATCGAGAAATATCACAGTCAGAAATTAAAAAAAACAATAAAAGATTCACCATAAAAATCAGGTACAATAAATAGCTATACATTTGAAAAGATAACAACACAATCAAGCAGAGACAACGTGAATCGATTGACATTGAAGAAACACTTGGAATGGACACAATTTACACCCGATGACAGTGCCTACCTTCCGGGCTGAACTTTGATATTTAACAGCTTTCTTTGTGTCGGCCTTTGCACTTTCAATATAATCCACTGCTTGTTCTACGTTGTATTCAATTCGATCAATCATCTCGCCCTAAAAGAATAGTTAATAATTTATGATTATGTATATATTTATGGGCAACAAGAGACTGAATTTTCTAAGGCTGAGTAGTGATTTTATAATGTACTTTATGGTTGGCTAGTTTTGGGCTAAGCGTATGAATACTTTCTTTTTTAAATGAAATTTCTAGATTAAAAAAGTAATTAATCAGCAGTAAATTTTCATACTGAATATGCAAATCTGAGTACCAACCTATGGATGCCAATAGAATTACCATGCTTTGTTTAGTCAGGATACTTTCAAATGCGCAGCTACAAATATGAGAAAGTCATATAAAATCGCACAACTGTATTGTAAGTAATTTTCTATCAAAAAAGTCACTAAACTCTTTTACGATAATGTTTCTACATCAGAGGTTAAGCTTATTCACGAGAGTGAATCTAAAAAAAATTGAGGTCATAGGGTGAAAGCATCAGATAAATGAAGTTGAAAATCAATAACTCGATTTGTGAATTGTTTTGCAATATACTAAATTAGTTAGGCGAAATTCAAAAAAAGAGGATTAAAAGTCATTATAATTAAAAACTTAATTACCAGTAAATATGTAATTTATGATTTGGGTAAAGTAAATTATATGATAAGTGAGAAGTTAGTTAAAAATCAAAGTAAATAACTTATTTTGTACGAAGGAAAATATTTATTCTGGTATATATTAAGTAGACTGGAAGAAAAGAAGCTCTGTAATATAGGAAGGAAAATTAGGTGAAAATCTTTAAAAGGTTCTTGGTAGATCCGTAAAAGATTCTATGATTTTGAATATATTTATATGTCAAGTAGACGTTTTCGTTAAAATTTTCCCCAAAAGTAGTAAATTTAAGACCTAGTAGTTCAACAGTGACGTCCGAGTATTTTATATTTTGTAGTAGTAGAAAGCACGGTAAGACCTTGAAGAAAGGGAGTTGCAGTCAACGTAACTTGATTAACCAACTAGATTCAGATAAAATATGATAGCATTAGAACCTGAGTGTGTAGAAACTAAGCTAATCAAAATAAGTAACGAAAAACTCAACTATTTGGAAGCATACGTTTACACATAATCACATAATAGAGTTGGATAAAGCCACTCTCTTAAATATCAATATTGTCTGTAACGAGAGACAGACCATCAAATGTTTTATTCGATTAACATCCAAGATGTACACTAGTATTACGTAAGTAAAAAATTTTAAATATTTGAAAAATTTAACGACCAGTAAAAGTGGAGTAGGAAGTTTTAGGATTACGTGAACTTAGTTGTAAAAGTGTGCGACTAACTATCTAAAGTTAAGTCAGTATAAACTTAAATAAACAACAGTTGGGCAAAAAAAATTTAACTGCCTTATAAAAATAACTACGATTTGACAAAATGTTGATTTTAGTATATTTTGAATCATTAATGATACGTTCGAGTGCTATAGGACAGTGAGCAGGAGGACCAGAAGATTGGTAAAATTATTAAGAAGTTGGAAATAAAGTTTTTATGACCAACCTGACTTTCAACAAGCATTGCCATATCCATGAACATATCATGTAACTCCTTAATACTCTTTTCAAGTTTCATAATGTCTTGATGTCGAGCTTCAATATCTGCCAGAGACTGTTTTGCTTGTTGAGTATCCGTCATGATCTGAAACAGCGGGTAAAAAAATGAGAATCAAAAACAGACTATGGAAAATCGAAAAGGGTCAACAAAGTCGTTTTATTTGAAAAGATACTTATCAAAGAGATAATCAGTAAATGAGACTCTAAGTCAGAAAGAAAGACAAAACGAAAAAATATTCATAAATCTGAATTAAGAAATCAATCCTAATGGGTAAATAAATACTTCTTAAAGATAAACTAAACGAACCAGGCAAATGAATCATTCCCTAATCACAGTTTAATTTATTATCTAACGTGCACAGGAGTGGATGTTGCAGTAATGGCATATGTGATTGCTGGGAACCAGTCATCTACACATATATGCATCCGGTTCAAGTTGCCATACCTCATTAGCACAACAAGATGAACACCAAACTTGCATTCTTAACTACAACTATTTTCAGGATGATGTCGGATTTGTGCTAAACTTACAAATGAAGAATAACCTATACCCTTATTAGGTAACCTCCGACATTTACCTTTGATTCACTTTTGTGAAAATAAATGAAATAGAAAACGTGTTTTCTCTTATTCTTTAGATCTAATTAATCACTTGTTTCTTACAGCTACCAAATCCAGAGTATGCTACTTCATATAAGTGGGGTGACAACTTACACATATTAATTATAGTAATATCCCTGAAGAAAGGAATGAGTCTCAGAACTAAAACCAGGATACGCGGACTAAACAACTTTTTTATTTATCTGAATTATTGATTTCCTTAGACTGGATTTATTCTTAACCTTCACATTTAAAATGATAATCTGCAAGGGGTTATTTAAATGGTCGGCAACAAATAACCATTAAAAACCATCGTTTATGAATGTAAGCTGTTACTCGTAAGTGTTGACGATGACTACCTACGAGTTAAGGATACAGAGTTAAACAATATCATAGTTGGACATATGATAAAAAGCGAAGTGCACGTTCTCACTAATAGCGGTCAGTGAAAATGTAGATTATACTTATTAAAGACCATAAGAATGACTAAGCTAACTGGAAAATAATTGTGAAACATACTGATAATATCGACAAATCCAGATCAACGAATCGACATCACTGATCCTACTATTCAACCAATAACATAAATGTGCAGAATGAATGTTGGAGATTGAGCTTTACTTCATTTGTTACAATAAAAAATTCCAAGTTTTCATACATATGGGCTTTATCCAAGCAAACAAATAATATGTGCATTGGCATAAACGTCCATCGGTCATTTACTTGGTATTTTATCTCTTATGGTCATTGTATAAACTTCTTATCGGTTTATGCATTAGTTTCATTTAAACATTGAAGTGATCTGCACCTATCAAGATGACCTTTAATTAGTGACTAATTTAGCTGCCGAAACAGGCTAACGTCCCTCCTTACGTTTGGTTGAGTTATTAACTGCGACTATTGATGTCATTACACCAGACTCCGAATAAAAATCATCCTCTTCTTCGATCAATTGCCTCGCTAATTTTGTACAAATGTATCCTCGGTATTTACATCATTAAGATGGAATAGACGGCGTTTTTTATTTTTACTTTCTAATGTTTGGTGAGATCCAGACATCTATTTCTTTGTATAAAGCAATGTGTTGAAACACATATGTGTCTTAAAACGACCAACAATCAGTCAGTCAGTAACAACATGGAACTTCGTACGTACGTACACTAGTTCGAGTTGCCACACCACATTAGCACAGAGATGTAGTGGTCGATTCAAATCCCGTAGTGGTAGAGGTAGTAAGATTATAAGCTGTAATCAGAAAAATTAGGGTTTGAAGATGTTATTCAAGGACTATAATCCAGTGAAATAAATTTGGAAAGAGAAAAAAGAAAGGGACATGAAGAATTCAGAAGATTAGGATTTGGGAGGACACAAAGAGTGTATGCACCTGTGCCATTGCAAACGATTTTGAGCCATGTCATTCAGGGTCTCTAACCATCGGTTGCTATCATCTCGCGGTCCCCAACCAGGTAGTCTACACCTACCAATATGACTCAGTCCACTTGTCAGTGACTTCATGGACTTGTGGCATGTTTTGGTTTGGCCGCCCCTAGCTTTCTTCTAATCTACTCCTATACAACAAAACATCGCACATCGAGGCAGTCGGTCGTTGGGCATACGTAACACGTGTCCCAGCCATCTCAACTGATGAAGTTTCACTACGTCATCAATTGATTTGCCATCCTTACCTAGTACCCGTTTTCTAACAACTGCGTTACTTACTCGATGGTCCCAGGATATACGAGCAATATTTCGAAGACACCTATGATCAAATACTGGTAACCTACGGATATCCTCTACCCTTACCGGCCATGTTTCACTGCCATAAAGTAGGACGGAACGAACTGCTGCGCAGTAAACACGTCCTTTGGTTGATAGACGGATATCTCGCCTACGCCATAAACGACGCAAGTTGGCAAAAGCTAGTCGAGCCTTCTGTATCCATGATGTGATTTCGTTACACACCAGACCACAAGGGCTGATGAGACTTCCAAGATAAGTGAAGCGGTCGACACGCTCAACTACTTCACTCTCTATCATTAGTTCGGGTGTCGATGCAACCCAATCCTGAAGCAACATTTTACATTTCGAGGGGGAGAATCGCATCCCGAACAAGTTTGCATTGTTGCTTAGAGTGGTCAGAAGACTCTGCATTTTGTCAGCGTCTTCACCAAATAAAACTATGTCATCAGCATATTCTAAGTCAACAAGTGAACCTCCCGGTAGAAGTTCAACCCCTGGAAATCTAGACGAGGAAAGTGTTATCTCTAAAAGTACGTCAGTGACAAAGTTAAACAAGAAACGACCAACAATGTCAAAATGATTTTTTTCAGAGGACGCTATGTGATATTTTTGTGACTGCAAGTATGTTGGTGTAGGTCGTCTGGATGAACAAAACCTTCGAGCCTGGGGTCGTTATTGGGCGGCCTGCTTGAGCATCTGGGCTACCTGTTCCTGTCATCTAAATATTTCAACAAGTTATCTATTTTTGTTTGTTTTAATATATCAATATGTATATTAATCGCATAACCCATCCTAGTGCATTTCTGAAAAGTTTACAACCTTTCGTTGTCAAAGTTACAAAAAGCTCAATAAGAGATAATGTGGTCGCTGGCAATATGCAGAGAAAAGAATATACATTATTCAGATGTTTATTTACTGGACTGCTAACATCTAACTGGCTATCACTCAATATTTATCGTCAGGATCGACTAGGAAGAAAGAAACGGAAACTTGTTGAAATACTTTGTGCTGAGAATTCTATATTGTACCGAAAATATAATATTGAATAAAGCTTATAATAATAATAATAATAATAATAATAATAATAATAATAATAATAATAATAATAATTCACTGTAATACAACTGACTGACATCATCACTATATGGTGAAATGTCAAAAGCTCCACCTAGGCGGCTCTATACAAAACTTACTTTATCTACTAAAATGTTAAAGTTAGCCACTACAAAGACTACATATGAGCACCTAGGGTGGCATAAATTACGCATCTTTTGATACAACTTATATTTTATTTCATATGAACTAGTCAGTGGAAAAAAAACATGACCTTTGCAAGTTTTATACACTTTTATTAAATTGGATAGCATGTAGCCAAATTTTACTGAAATCTAGTGCATAAGTATGTATTTGGCCCATATTTTATAAAGAGCAGTTCTATTTGACAACACAGAGGAATAGTTGAGTCAATCCCGAATCGACAGACGACCTTTCATTAAAACTCGAAGGCATACCTCTTCAGATTAGTAACTAGTGAGTTTGCTAATCGTCCTTATTGCAAACATTAGAAAGTGTGAGCGTGAACCTCTGAGATCAATCTCCCCTCTTTATTACTGATCTTTCAGTTGATTTAAGTCTGTTATAACAGATACATAAAAAAAGATAAAACCCCACAAATTTACCCAATTAAATGATGACCTATATGTTGGAATAAGATTTTTTGGGACAATATGTCACCCAAATTATCTTTTAACAGTGAGTCAAGTGAGGGAATTACTTCAGTAAATTATACACTTATCTTTAGGCAAAACTTCTTATTTCTAACAACCAATAATAACTCACGTTACTTGAACAGTGAGCATTAAGTGCAGTTCAGAAATTTATAATGCTGTTTTAAAGAATCACTTTGAAGTCACGCCCTTTGTCAGATGACATCGGTTACCTAATTCCGATCTACAGATGACTGAGAACTGTTTACCTTTTGTATGAGAAATAATTTGTTTGTTTATATGATACGGAACGAAAATGCTGGAAAATTAGGTTCTTCAATCTGTATTTAGAAGTCACTTAATTATTGACTACTTAGTGTGATTATTTTCCAACATCAAATAAAACTAATGAGGTTATTGAGCCACCTTTAATATTTTTTACGATATAAATCCAAGCGAAAGCCCCCGATAATACTGGTAATGATTGTACAACAAAACATCTGTTGGAGTGATGTCGGAATAATAATACATTAACCGAATTAACGAGTATTTCACAGAATTAGCTTTACTATAGGATCAAGAATAAATCAACAATTTTTACTTTTGATAAAAACTTAAATGCGCTCCCCAATTTTACCATCGCAAAGTTGTTCTTAATGACTATTTTACTCCGGAAAACATAAGTACATACTTATAATATGCACAACCAAACAGAGATAGTATCACATTAAAAGAAGTTCTAAATTTGATAGTACTACTTTATTTATAATATTTATTTTTCAGAGTGGTGTTTATAATAAAAAGCAATTTCAGTGGATTCAGTCAAAGTTTCGTACATATTATGCGCAAAATGAAAGCGATGAGATATTAAACCGTACACGCAAAAAATCCCAGCCATAAATTTTATGAAGAGCACATCTATACATAATTTTCCGTCAGTTGACTGGCAAATATTGATTTAAATATGAAATCAGTACGTCACCTCAGTATCCTCTTGTTTAATTCTTTAGTTCTCGAAGGACTTTACACGTACCGTTCGCTAGTAACCGTAACTGGTACATAAAGCGATGTATTAGTATAGAACAAAAAATCCCGAAGTTCGGTATTACGGTAATAATTTCATAATTGAAATGATTCCATGACAATTAATACGACAGAAAACTACTAGCAGTATCAAGGATCTTAACTAACGAAATAAATATTTAAGTGTGTGGAGCGATAACATATTGATTAAGACACTCAATATTTGAGTACTGAATTGTCAATTTGAACTCGGTTTTACTTCTGTTAAACTATCCAGGAGTCGTACTTGACTACCGAGTCGCACTATTTATCATCTCTAGAACATTTTGAACGATAGTCAGAAGCCTTAGAATAGCATAAATGAATACCGAACACAGAGGGTTAGAGACTTTGAATGACATGGCTAAAATCGTTTAAAATGGAGCAAGCGCATCCGTTCTTTGGTTTCCCCCAGATTCTGAGATTCTAAATTCGTCATAACTTTCGTTAGTTTTTAATTTACGAACATATATTTTTCTTTAGTGGTTGCGCACTGCTGAGGAGTCCCACAATAGGGAGAGACGGTCATCCAGTGCTTCCAAGCTTTACATGGTGGTTGTTATATCCCCATAAGAATAATGAATGGTAACTTTTGAGATCCATTTATACTATAAGTATATTTTCATTGTATAATTGTTAAATAACTAAAGTGTTCATATTCGTGTTCCTCTTAGCATAAGCTTTGTTTTGGCCTATGAACTATTATCATACGATTTATCATTCTTGAGTTATGCCCTATCTATCAATTACTATCTCCCTTATTCACAACCATATTTGGCTGCCTTGTACAAATGTTGTTTCCTATTTTATGGTATGATGTGGTCTGTCTGGTTGGTTTATAAACACAGTATTTTTGAAATACATGATTCATATCGCAGAGGCTGAGATTGGTGTTCTAGACTCAACTGGCTGGGCTAGGCAGGAAGCAAGACCGATAAGTAATCTAGACCGCTCGTAAGGGTTTTATGTGTCATTGATCCAATCGATAATTCACTGCTCTCTAATTGGTGGTATCATCCCGTTATACGTTATCAGGGCACACAGGCCACAAGTTATAACAGTGGCCTAGCTTTAACTGACTCATGATCTCAACCTCTAAAATCACTATAATATCTACAAAACCCCTTCTGATATAATTTCTCTTGATCTTTAGCTTCAATGTCTAATTTTCCTTATTGCTACGGAGACTACTACTATTATTCTGGGGTTTCGCCTGACAATTTCATCTCTCTATGCTAACGGGGTATGGCAACTTGAACTAGTGTAAATACATACCAGGTCCTACGTTGTGACTGACCGACTGACTGCCCAAACAGAGCTTAAGACGCAATGAATACGTGGAGCATAATCGCTTGATATGAAACGTAGTTCGAAAGTTGTCGGTGATCACTGAAGATATGCAAAGTCACACGTTAAGTCTCTTAAGATGTTATTGAGAACTTAACTATCCTTAAACATGAAAAATTATTTACAAAAACGTTTCTTATCTTAGCGCTTTACTTTACTATAAAAGAGTTCATCTATACTGACAATTGACCTACTAGATATCAGCTTTAGTAAGAAAAAACTGCATGTGATTGTGGAAAGTTTAGGAATTACTAAAACGACTGTCAAAATGGGTTGCTAGGATTAAAAAATTTGAGAAATATAGAGTAATCAGTATAATATTTGACAATTAAAGGAACTGGTAATATAAGTACATATATCATTTCTATAAAGTGGGTCAGAATAATAAAGTTTGGTTATAAACTAAATTCGAACAAACTAACTTCTTGTGTAAAAATGGCAGGATTTCCAGATTCTAACATATCCTCCAATTCTTCATTAGAAATCTTTCTCTCAGCTAAAATGAAAAGTTACTCCCCATTAAAAAAACTTGAGTACAGACTGTGTAAAACAAAAAATTGCTTTATTTAGTCTATATATATGTTCACAACCACATATTAAAAACTAATTTGCAGTACTTCACTGGGATTCAATACACAACGGTGGTGCCTTCTTGAGTTTTGACAAGAAGTCCCTATATTTAATTTATCATAATTCACGTAAAAATATGGGTTTAATAAATGTAACGACAAAAGACGTTGCATATAATTATCTCCGTTTTAGAACACCATAATTAGTTCTAAAGGTTGTGGCCGGACTGTAGAAGTGTGTTGATAAAGGTAGCTACTCAAAACTACCAACAGGTTTAATGTATAAAACGGCCGACTAAAAAGAAGTGAAACTTCAGTGTAACTGATGATCATGAAAACATATATATTAGTCAAATTGAAATCATGAGCCAATTGAAGCTAGACCACCATGGAAAACCTGGAAGCACTGGACGGCCGTTTCGTCCTAGTATGGTACTCCTCAGCAGTGCGCATCCACGAACCCGCCCCCCGTGGGATTCGAACCCAGGACCTACTGGCTTTGCGCGCGAGCACTTAACCATTAGACCACTGAGCCGGCATCCAACGGTGTTAATGTCTAACTTCAACCAATCCACGAAGTTGCGCCACCGTACACCATTGTCTTCAGTGAGTTCCTATCTCATAATAGACCTGGTTGAACTCCACTGGTAACGACTTCTCACTAGAACTCCAGGAATGAACTTGGAATAAACTAGGCAGAGCAAGATTTAAACACGTAACTAAAGGTTGGTAGTCAAATGATTCAACCACTAATCCTCCGCTTCAATTTAGGGACAAAAAGTTTGTTTCTAACTCATAAACTTTTGTTAGTTCTCTCAAAACGTAAAGGCAGAGTGTGTAATCAACGAAACTTCAATGCACGAGGATTTACTTAAAAGGGGATCATTAAATAACTGATGATAAACTCTCATGCATAGTTGAAATAAGGACTCAGGAGATAGTCGAGTGAATAAAAATGAGGAAGCAAATCTTTTAATGAGCTGTTCGGGTGCATGAATCAGATGTAAAGAAGGTATAGGAACTAAGGTTTCAGATAAGTTACGACGATCGGACTTTGGTCCTAAATGAACGGAATATGGTTTACGAAACAAGTGTTAGGTGACTGCATAGATCTTTTGAAACCTTGGGATACATGAGACAGAAAGATCATGTGAAACTGGTAGAAAGGCCCAATGCTAAGCTTACTTTAACTGCTGCTACAAAATGATTGTCAGTGTGACATTGAAGGAATAATCATTAGGACGGTCAGATATGTATGACGTAAGGGTTAGAATATACACTTAATAACTTAAACTATTTCGTTGAAGGTGGATCTAGGGGTAACAAAATCAACCGCAGCAGATAACGAGAAAACAGATTAAATGAGTGAAAAATCCAATACATAGGGTAATGAATTGTTCACACTTGACGAGGCAATTGATAAGTATAATAGGACTACCGACATACCCGGGACTAGTTTTTTCGTCTACTAATCATACAAATGTTGAGAAGCATATCGTTTTACGTATGAAGTTCCGACCAATGAAACTAAGTGACGTAATTGGACAATCTTAAATGTGAGAAAAGATTAAGTCCAAATTTGTATTAAGTACTAATGTGTAACAGAAAAGAAAGACTAAATAGACTTGAAAATCCGTATAACATGTTAAGTACGAAGAGAACGTGTGGAATAAAGAATATTAGGATCATCTATAGGGTGGAACAGTCAGAACATGCTTCTTCGCAGGACATTATTGCTTGAGAATAAAAAAAGGTTTGAAAATGAGGAAACACTAACAAAATACATTATCTTTCTGGGTATTTCGAAAATAAAGCAAAAACAGAGATGGGCTGTCATTAAACAAAGAAAGAAACACTGAGTATAGTAAGCGTTGTCAGGATGCTAGTGCTATTAATCGAAAATGCAACTAGAAGGTATGAGGATTTTAAGGTTCGGCATTAACCTCTATCTACAGGAGCAAGAACAAACTATTTACATTTTTGAAGGCTAAGGATATTCGTGCTTATAAAACGCATTCATATCAGGGACCTAAATTGTGGTCAGTCTGACATTAAATGACTAAACTGGTTCAGAAGTAATTTTAAACCAAGTTTAGTTGTACAATAAAATTAGGAATACTTTCACTCATTTGGTCAAAGCTATAAATGACGAAATCTTCAAAAGTTCGAGAAAATGATAGAAGCACGTGAGTGTAGTGAACTGAAGTCCATACACAGAAGTTTAGTGCTTTAAAAAGTAAATAAACAAGCATGTTTGTATCGCAATGGACATGGACATAAGTATATGATATGAAACTAACCGATCTCCATTTGTCTTTTTATTCGGTTCTTGCAGGCGTCTCTGAAAGCAACTTGAGCTTTGTTATAGTCGGTCATAACTTCAATAAAGTTCCGAGAAATTGTGGAGTACTATAAACGATGAGCGAGGCAGACGACAACTTTACCTGAGTCTTTCTTATCCGTAAATCAGCTGATGTCCTGTCAGAGTTTTCATCATACTCGATGTTCATTTCCATTTCTGCAAATAACAGACAGTAAAACCACTTACGCTTTAGTTTCGCACGCACCTTGTGTGCGATTGTCTTAATTTCAGCCATAGCATCTTCAAGTTGAGCCTTCGTAGCTGCAACACAAAAACTATTAAAAAGTTAAAAACTACCTTCGTCTTGGTTAGGCGAAGAAAGTATGTCACTATGCTTATTTTTTACATTATCAACAAGAGATTGAACCCGTTCAATCAAGTTTCGAATTTCCTCGACTTGAGAGAAAAAATCATTCATGTACTGAGACCCATCAAGGGGCAAGGAAGTGTCGGGCAGGTCATTTGCATCTTCAGGTTGCGCCTGAGGGACATTTAACAATTATATTACACGCTTACAGCCCGAAGAGCGCCTATTAAGTCTTTCGTCATTAAAAATCGGCCGCCCTGAAAATAAATCTCCCGCGCTTATAAAAACAAAAATAACTCAGTCACTAAAAATATTTTCAGAACTTCTCTTTATAAAAAACTGAAGTTACAGGTGGTAAGATAGTGAGTTTAAATAAATAATATGAAGCGGCATTATTAATCACTGTGCCTCGTCGTTACTAAATTCTGATGGATATAATCTCTCAAGAAATATCAAATACTCCTCCTGTTACGTCTGCATACATATCAACATGTTTTCTACTAACAGTTGCAGTCGTAAGCATCTTCTTCAGTCGTTATTTTTACAACTTAGCAACTCAACTTAATTTCTCCTTTTCAATTATATTTCAATCCGTCTTTAATAGCGAATAACTTTCAGGTTTGTATTCTCGCGTATTTTAAATAGCCGTTTTTAGTTATGGAGGCTGGTGACATCGTTTTGCTTCTTCGGATCATTCAATTTTAGTTTTCTTTTTAATATCCTCTTCGCTTATCGATACTGCCGTATGTTGGAAGAAACGTGGTACAGTACGAAAACTGCTGACTTTGTCATGATGTTTCTGTTTTGTGGAACTCTCACGATAGTAGGATGTCTTTCATTAAGTTTTTTTCAGATAATCGCCTTGTTTGTTAACATGCTGTTTCTCAGTCATGTCTTGACAATGATGCTTGTTTACGTCTGGAGTAGAAGAAATCCATTAGTGAGGCTAAACATATTCGGGATAATAGAAGTAAATGCTCCATACCTTCCCTGGGTGTTTTTTGCATTTTCTTTCCTTCTTGGGAATAATATGATGGTTGATCTTATTGGTAAGGAGGTTTTCATCATTATTAACTCTTTAGGTATTTTTGTTGGTCATCTTTATTATTTCCTCGAAGATGTATATCCTAATCAAGTGAATGGATTTCGAATACTCCGTACGCCTGAATTTATGTAGGCCTGAATAGTTAATGCTGACGTATTTTTCTAATATTAGGAAATATTTGTTTAATAGACGACAAATTAATCGTGCTTATGAGCCTCTCCCAGAAGTGGGAAGACCTGGTGGCTTTAATTGGAATGGTCAGGAGTAATCTCACCGTAATAACAAATAGTTTTCTAATTTATCTTTTTCTTATACCCCTGAGTATATGTTTTGGTTGTGTAAAGTTTCTTCTCTTGATTATTTACTTTGGCTTATTATTTTTATTGCATGGTTTTGCCAGTCTGTAAATGTTCATTAAGACTGCCTTACACTTTTGAGATTATCAAACCTCATTGTTGCTACTTTTTATAAACTTAAAATAATTACAATAATGTTTTGAATTTTTCAAGAATAACAGTCAGTTATACGCAATGTATGTTTAAGCACATGTGCACATCAACTAAATTGTCACATCCCACCGTTACAGCGAGGTGGAATTACCAAATCCAAGAGATTCTTCAGTGATGATATTAGTTATTATATAAACGATGAGGCATAGATCTCCTTTGAGAAAAAAAAGTGGATTAGCGTGGTAAAGACATTGGCAAACCTCTGGCTGTGTAGTGCGATCTTTTTCCGTTTAAAATGAATCTGATTCTTAACACAACTATTTATACACACAGCGAACGCAAGAATATGAATATTTTACCGTTTATTGTATAATTTTTGGCAAAAATAAGAGAAAATCGGCCGATACTGAAAAATCCTAAATGTATTTACTAAACTCTATATCTGTGAGCTTGACAGTATCAATAAAGCAGTGGCTTAGTAGTCAGGACATTGGACTTTTATCCTCTTGATCGTAATTCGAGTACAACTCCATCTACGTTAGTTTGGACAAGCATGTAATATCGTTAGCCCTCGCACAAAATCTGGCTGAAATTTGGATACAAAAACCTGAACTCCACATATGGTTGAGTTGCAGTACTCTCTCATCTTTCAAACAGAAGGAAAGATTTGTGTTTGATAAATAAAGATAGCTCTAAATATCTCAACGAGTGTATCACCACTTCCGTGACACAAATCACTTATTTATACTACGAAAAGTTATCAATATTAGTATTTAATTATGCTTCGTTACAATGTGCTATAAATTAGAAACATTTCGGTTTGTACGTAATAATTAAAATGATATCACTCTCAAACTTAAAGCTATCTTAAGTTAAGTTTAAGTTTGTATGTTTAGTTGTTGAGAAAATATAAACGGTGCACTTACAACTGAATAGAGGCCCACAAATGCCCTGGTACGGCCGACAGTAGGGAGAGTCCGCTCTCCCTCTCTAATGCCCTCACACGGCCACGCGCATACAGCCTCTGTCAAGGAAGTCCTACTCACCGCCTCGTAGCGGGGGTGTTGTTTACGAAAATGAGAGGACGAAAAGCGAATGTCCGGCGCTTTAACCGGGCCAGTGAACACGGTGAGTCCACCTAAGGGAGTTGAAAAACCCTGATTCCAAACCAATGGTGCACATGGGCTCCAGTATCCTGAAGGAACAAATGGCGTATGAACCAATTGTTGGTCACCGATACCATGGGACTGCATCTCCTTACGATGCTCCACTGCCTTGTGGATCAGACCTTCAGGTCGAAGGCTCCGGGTGTGGCCTTCTAAAAAAACCACCTGCTTTTGTTTGAGCACCCGAGCAGTACCACAGCCCATATACAAATAGGATAGAATGACGACATTTACTTAAAATACTATTCACGCTTCGATTAACAGCCAAACAATTTACATTATTTTTTACCACGTCAGTTATTCACTCTCTTTTCCCCTTTTAATGGAAAAGCAACACATTTATAAAGAAACAAACATAAGGTTGTTCAGTGATATGATTCATAAAAACTTGTCATTCTATGATTCATCTTAGTTTTAAAAGGTGGCATGTCAAAATTCTGTGAATGTCGACTATATCTTAGTAGCCTTGGGTGTGGTATTGCAGATAGTAGTCCACATAACCTGACTTATCACGTTGCAGCTTTGATTTAAATCTCGGTAGCGAAGGAATAAGTACCGGAAAAACAGGTATGTTTCACGCAATAAACAATATTCATTAATATTTAAAGCCATCGCCTCTACATTTCTAGCAGCAATTTGGGATTGTGTTGTTAAAACTAGTAAAAGTATCCTTCTGCATCGGCTATTCTTCACCTACCCAGGGCCTTAGCAACCTGTGGTGTAAAATACTTTAGACAGACTAATCTGATCATCCATTGTCATGAAGCAGTCTCCATTAATATGTACTGCGTGTAAAGAAACACGGATTATCATCCGATTCGTGGAGGCCCAGCTCACGATGGGCAATAACATGTTTTGAATTGAGATTATAAATCGATTAACGTTAGACTCCCATTGATAGCGATAATAACGTTAGTGTCACAGTTCAATATGTTCAGCTAATTTAAAAGAAATAATTCGAAGTCAATAGTCATCTACTGACTAGTCGTACAGGTGAAAATAATTTTGCTTGATACGCTGCAACCAAGACCGTCTTATTGTGGTTCATAGTTTCTTGTCACCAATTTTTCATATGCTTCGGTTTGACTTTTATCATATATCTTAGGAAGTTAGACTGTTCGAAATGTATTAGGCTAACATATCACGTAGTCCTGATAAGATGTCTTACTACCTACTCTATATTTTTAAGATAATTTCTTCATCTGCTAACTTTTATTCGAAAAGGCTAATTGTATTCTTTAATGAAGTCTAGGGTAATTAATTAACATCAAAACGGATAAATTATGTATTAACGCACCCACTTTCTCAACTATAGTTGGTTTACATTACTTTTAGAGATCATTAGCTGGTGCGACTTTTAATTTTTAATAACTCACACGTCAAAAAATTGAGTCCGATCATAACCTGGTCAGTGATCGACAAGCATCATAATTGGAACTAAAATAATCTTACTGTGCAAGCTACTGACTAACTAGTTTGCTCCATGTTAAATTCATTAACTAATCTCTCAGTATATCACAAACAGCTAAATTTGGTTTTACTTATAGCGCACAGACAGTTTCATGAAACACTTGGGCGATGAAAGTAACTCAACTAAGCTGTTTTCTATTGAATTTCACCGGGATGGTCTCATTTCTTGGAGATTTTGTAACATAAGAAACGGTGCGTTATTTTGTATGTACTTTTAACTAGTTTATTTTTACCCACGAGTGGATCTCTACATCAAAAACGAGGAAAATGAGATTATCTGCCATGTATATCCAGTTAACTTAAGCTTTGGGTTCACAGATTAAATTGGGTACGATCCATAATATTGTGAACGAAACACTTCATCTGACATGCCAGAATTTCCACGAGTAAACGGTATCCGAAATTCAACAGATCAAACTCGTCTTCAATTTACACGCTGTCATAACTCAACGATTAGAATGACCTATTTGCAACATATCTAAATGCTTATAATGTGATGCATGATTCGTACCCAATCGATAAACATTCTAGTACATGTGTTTCAGCAGGCTGCTTGGTTTAATGTGGGAAATTTTATGACGACAGAATCAATTCAATAAAATAGTGATGTGATTTAAGTGACCAAATTTTTCACGAAATCGTTTCAGCCGAACATATTCCAGTTGGGTGACGACTGTTTTCTGAAATACTTTTGCTTCGGATTATGGGGTCAGTTTTGCCACCAAACTATCAGTTCGATGGTCGCAATTATACTAATATCTTTTGAGTCGGTTTTAATTCCATTATCATCTCGTAGACCTAGTAGACTTTACCACTATGAAGAAAGTGATCTTGTAACTCATCACTTTTTCTATCATTTCACACAAAATGATGACATTTAAGAAGCGAACTCCTAGTCAAGTTGTGTTTATTGGTAGATGCGCGCAAGCCTTATACTTACATTCATCACTGTATTGGTATTGAAGATATAGGAACATTCGGTAGAACAGATGTGATTGAGTTGTACTTTTGGATTATTTGGTTTGCTCAATATCAACCGGTCATACCTACTGCATCAAACGAATATGATTCCTACTAATTGGTCTCATGAACGATCATTTGTTGCCTTTCAAAAACGGTCACAATTGTTCGAATAGATAGACTAGTTTAAAAATGAGCGTAAGTCAAGTGATAACATTGATATTCAACACGAGCTCGTAGATGACGTTTTCTCCCAAATGATTACACGGTACGAAACATTTCGGTGATCTGACATGTTCATCACAGTTAAGAAAACATCAGATAAGTCAGTACTACGTGGGTTAACAAAAGTTATTAATTTACGATTATCTATACATATACGTTGAGACAATTTTACAATGCATGTGAAAATGTCCGAAAATTATCGAGCTTAAATAATGACAAATACAAAACGACATAAATACATCCCAACATGGAAAAAACTTTCCGATCGCTTTGGTTTGAAAAACTAATGAGTTTGCAACAGAGACAAAATATGCTTCTCAATTATACGTTGGCTAGCGCGTGAGCCTCGTCGTATAGCAAAATCCAGTGCTGTCCACCCATCTGCATTTATAGAAGTAATATCAGCACCCCAATCGAGTAACAGAGACACGATTGCGGCGTTATTGTTATAGGCTGCGAACATTAACGCAGTGTTGCACAGTTCGTCGGACAGGTCTACTGGGCATCCAGCCTTGAGCAAGTAAAGAACCACATCAAAGTGACCGCGGCTAGCAGCTAGGAGCAGTCCTGTTTCTCCGTTATCTCCAGATAGAATGATATTTGCACCATAGAAAACGAGTAACTCCACTGCAGCTTTCTGTCCATTAGCACAAGCCCATAACAGTGGAGTAAATCCCTGCAAATTAAATAACAGAGCATATTAAAGCCAAGTAGCCATTAAAAGCATGTACTTGTATCGATATTCACACCACTAAAAATAAGGATTCTTGAATAGCTTGTAATGAAATAACACCAAACATTGTTAGATAAAGTGAATTCGTTTTGCGTTGTTCTTTTAATGCTCAGCATAAGTATTAGTTGTGTAAACAAGACGTTTTATAAATGTATTATCAAAGGCAAAAAATTTATTTTGCTGATAGAAGTAATCATAAATACGTGCACGATTGTAAAGTGAATTAATGATTAATTTTACTGGTGAAATAATATAATATAAAAGCCAACTCGTCCTGATAAAAGACTAACTGCACTGTTGATGGTCAGGTCTCAACTTGAGAAGAGCTGTTTTATCCGCATATGTTGCGTTAGGTTTTTATCAGAATGGTTTATTTCTCATGAACTCCTACCTTGTCATATATATACTTCTAGTGGCGACAACTTCACCTCACTCCATGCATCTATTTCGATTGAAATGCAATATTGTCGACTTGGATTGTCAAAACATATCCCTACTAAGGGATTAAAATGAACAACTATTATACCAATTCTGCAATTTGGAACTCCCGGCTTCAAAGCCGAACCACCAAAAGAACGTCTGAATTCCACAGTAATCTCTTATACGGTTGGGGCTCAGTATGTGTTGAAAGTACTGGTGTTTTGTTGTTGATCAAGACTTCATGTCAATTTATAAGAACCCGCGGCTAAATCCCCAGAAAACTTATGAAATGTATACACAAAAGTAGATCCAACAAGCACTTATCCATTAGATGATTGTAAACTAAATACACCATGTAAATGTTATCGTGAAATGTAACTTAAAACTGTCATTTGAATTGAGTTTTAAATCCACTGAATGGATGATAGTAGTCAAATTCTAGGCATATGAAATAATCTAAGTATACCAAAATCAAGGGAAACGGTACCAAACTTTTTCGAAACATTTGCTGGAAAAAATAGTAAGTATGTGCAAGTAGATGCATTACTGTAATAAAAGCTGATTGAACTAAGAACGCGTGTAAGGCGACTCATTGGAAAAATCTAAATATAGTCTATTTGGAAATGCAGAACGGGATATACTTCTAACATTTTGCTTGGTTTGTTGGTCGCATAGCGTGTCCAAATCAACATTGGCAACAATACTACATATTGTTGATAAAGTATATATATATATATATATATATATATATATATATATATATATATATATATATATATCCACTTAATAACTCCGTCAAGATCTCTTTTATGATTTTACTAAACTGTGGTGGCCAGAATACTGTACCTTTTAATTTGAACTACTCAGAAAAACTGTAGGGTATTAACAATTAAACTCAGAGTAAGTTAGGAGTTTGACGAAAAAGATGTAGACGATAGTGTTAATTTTAAGAATTTTCTTTACATGCATGTACTGGTCTGTCACATATTTAAGTAGGTTGCGTTACTTTGCTACTAACCTGGTTATCTGGAACATCTATATTGAAGTTTCGACTTTCTATTTCCCTTTGAAGCAACAACAGCTCACCCTGAGCAGCCATTTGAAAAAATGTTAGGTCTTTAGATTCTGTTGGAGCAAGTGTTTGAACATTTCTTCGCTGCACATTAGTTAGCAGAGTAGAGATTTTATTTGGTGACCGACCACAAGGTCTGTTGAACTCGGCTTTTGATAAAAAGTCAGGCGGAGGCACAATTGACCGGAATGACATTTCTGTTAATCAAGCCATCAGAAGTGTTACACGTAGTAAGACTGGATGGCGGGTTTCCGACTACTTTTAACTGAACGTAAATAAAACAAGTAATACCATTAAACGATCTTCCGAAAGATGTGTACCAACCACAGTTACTGAGATTCAAATACATCTTAACCATTAGTAGCAATCCAGTGAATAACTTGAAAAAATTACGATATCCTGAGTGCAAAATCGAATGTGTCTTCGCCATTGGAACTCTTACTTAACCAGCTGCTTCAAACGAGTCTTGGCGTATGATGCTGTAATACGGTTGCTCATATAGTAGGTTACTTGCATTCCAACCACTAGGTCCCAGTTTTAAACCCCGTTTCGATGAACTCGTAACCTGACGCTATGTCAGCAATCGTGCGCCACTTTATGTTGGGTACAGGAACCTGTCAACTAAATCAGAATAATTAACGAGTAATGTGTTGGTAGTTTTTGTTTAGAAAAGCTTTTATATGCGCTGAAGCCATAAGTGCTTCAATAAGACTCAACACCGTCCAGCATCTCAAACAATTTTTACCAAAGTTTCGAGTTTAACCCCGGTAAAGAAATAAGGATGCGAAAAACTAACTAGTTTGTGAGTCGAGCACGACACATGAATATACAGTTCTTTTTAAGTGCTGGTGTTGGCGTTAGTGATGAGGTTGATTCACGTATAGTGAAAACCAGAGAGGCTTGTGATAATCTGGGCCGTCTTTGGCGCCTTCGTGATGTTAGTCTGGCTGTAAAAGGTCGCATCTACAACGCGTCGGTAAGAGCAGTTTTGCTCTATGTTTGTGAATACTAGCCTCTCTGAGTTGACGGTGTTAGACGACCCTCTGTGTCTGATCATCGTTGTAACCGACGGATTGCTGACACCCAGTGGCAACATCATGTTAATAATGCAGAGGTTTGGCATCGTCTGTTCTGGCAAAGCGACGGTAATTCAATTGATGTCACTATCTTGAAACACCGACTTCGGTGGCTTGGACATGTACTACGAATGTTGTCCCGCAGAATTCCATATCGTGCATTATTTGGCGACGCTGGGGCTGGTTGGGAAAAGCGGAGAGTTGGTCAGTGTATAACTTAGTGCCGTTGTTAAGGTCTGGCTTCTGTTGGTCTTTCACGATCCCCTGGTTGGGGTCTTAGAGATGGAAGGACACAGTGGCTAGAGACGTCATCAGATATGGCTCAGAATAGAAGCCAGTGGCGACCCTGTTGCAACTTTATTTTACTTTCTTCATAAAAAAATGAACCTAAATTCTTTGAATGGAAGTTTTTTTGGTTATATTTTCGCTAACTGCACTGCCTCTCCTACTGTTATTGTTCCATTTTCACACACTATTTTCTGCTTGTTATTGTTCTCCTTTTATTATACGCACTTTACACTCTCTATCTCTTTACGTTCTCATTGTTATTGTGTGGTACATATGCATTTGGTGCCCCTTTGTACAAATATTTGTGTTCATATAAATAAATAAATTTTAATTGTTAATTTATCAGGTTCTCAAAGTTTACACTCGGAATAGCACATCTGAATTAAGCATTATGTATTAAACTAGTTGATACTTATAAGCGATTTATAGCAAAAATTATAACAATCGCCAAACCTGTTGAGCTCAGATCATAGAAATAGTATCAGGTGACTCAACAATATTTTGATTAGATAGACATTCTAGGTTGTTGTACATCAAGGGACAAGCTCTGCATACTTGAATACTACAAGATGATGAGGTAAGATTTGTTGAGGTATGACACCATATGATCAACACGGTCAAAGATATGATGGTGGTTAAAGGGATTAAGGTAAGACGAAAAAAATGAGACTTCAGAAGTTAATCTTTGGGGATCGGTATTTATATTTTTAACAATTAGCAAATTGTATTTTTACACTGCCCTCGTCATAAGTTTTTATTTTACTCACTAACGATTGTAACCCCTTTTGCCGTCCATCAGTGAAATAATTATGAGCGTATTACCTAGTTCGTCTTACCGTATACAGTAGTCAAGTTAGAGAGCTCAGTGAGTATAAACGGAAAATCGTTATGAAAGGATTACATAGTGACAAATATTGTAATGCATCGATGAAAAACAAGACTATTAGGCAAATTAGGTAACCTACAGGTACAAATGAGATTGTGACAAAATATATTCATCATATTTTTCCTACTTCATCTGAGAGAAATATGGTCATCTTCGAACATTGACAACTGCAACACAGGTGAGCCTGATCAGTACGACAATAAGGACTTGTTACAACAAACAGAGAGACTCGGCTTTCAGTCACACTTTAGGTTTAAAGTAGTGAAAATACTATTCGAAATGAAAGTGGTGAGATTTTAAACCCGCACTCCAATGGTCAGAATCCGAATGCTCCACGAAGAAACTGGCATATTTGGGGAAATAATTCTAACTTATTCCCTAAAAGTGACTGAATTCAATCTCTGGGGCATCGCTAGAACTTTCCAAAGTGTTCACACATATTACGTCGCTTTTATAAGTAACAGTTAAGTTTTACTTAACAATGGCTTATATCGATTATGTATGGTAGGGATTTCACAGCCTTTAGATATTATATATGTATACCACAGAGTGGTACAAGTAATTAGATAAACCACTCATGATATAGAGGTTTTGTCAAGCAAATATCAGTAATGGAAATGCCGGGAGTTACTGCAGCTTACTTATTGAGAAAAATACCAAATTATGCATGCAAAACCATAGATTTTGTCGCATAATTTTCCATAAGTTAGACTCTTAGTACTTATTCTACGAGTTGATTTGTTCTCTGGTTGTAGAAACTTCAACTCGACAAAAAAATATAGAAAACGGTTGGGTTCAACTATCCTTTTTCCATGATTTGCACGACTGTATTGACAAGAGCGATGCATGCACGAAACAAAGGGCAAATACACTCGAACACTCAACTAATATCCTTAGATGTAATGTGAAGATGTAGTTACTAATAATTAAAAAATAGACGTTGGTTTCCAGTCAAACTAAATGATTACTTATGGCACATCATTTAATTGATGTGGAATACTAACGGAGCTACAGCGCATCCAAGTCTACGATATCGTGGACATACCTTGTGTAGATTAAACTAACTGTACCAAATAATAAATAATCATGAAACCAAAGTGTAAAGATTAGGGTCTACATCAAGTGGCAACAACAAAAACTTGAAATCAATACAATCCGATGATCTAAACAATATGCTGATCGAATAAGGCTATCGTTTCCTTACCGTGACGTTGAGTATTAAATCAGCGCTGAAACTGTTTTAAATGGTCTTGGAAGGAATGGAAGAAGCTTTCGCTCAGTGAGCTTCCGTATCTAGCAGCAGTGGGTCAGTAATACCTTCAGGCAGGAACCTAGATATATTATCGATAAAATAGGGAAACGAAAATAATTGGCAAATCTTAGTATTATACAATCCTTAGTCCTTAATAATAGATCAAGTTTTCTCTTAGAGTACTCCTGAGAAGCCGCTTGTACTAGCTCAGCAGGTAGCGAATTTCAGCATTTGAGTACTCTTAGGGAGTAAAAGATGTGTCTACAGTCTGTTCTACTGTGTTGTCTTGAGTTTCCTGGTGTTACCCCTAAGGTTTGTGTTCACTCTAAGCTTAAGTAGGTGTTTAAGGTAATGTATAGAAGTGTTTAGGGTGCTGTAAGCCATTGAAAGATCACCTCTAAGACGTCTGTACTCTTTTGGGTAAAGGTTTAGTAATTGGAAGCATGATATCGTGGCTCGCCGTTCGATACGTTCCAGAGTGTCCTTATCCTTGGGAGTGAGGAAAGAAATAACATGATTCCGTACTGTGAATGGGGACAAATAAAACTGTTGAAGATTATGTGAATTATTTTTTTAACTGTGTTTGGTCAAGGCATAGCAGTATGAACTAACTGAATTAGTGAAATTCCACCAGGATCCTAGTAAACGACTACAGTGCGTAAATGAAGCAGTTTCGTCAGCTGTTTGAAACAATATTTCATGTCATCAATATGATCAATTATCTGACACGAAAGAACCTAATCAGACAGTCTGTTTTGGACATAGAACTTCTAGATACCTTAGATCGTATTCACCCCTACTCTTCTTCATTTTCTTACCTCTAGTTTTCAAGACATTATTCTAGTCAGTTACGAAAGTAGGTATGTCACCTGACAATCACGTAAAGATGCCACAGATATTCGGAGTTCGACAACGCTTTTACACGTAACACTTTTATAATCGAAGTATTCCTGTACATCCAAATCAGATCTATGAAATGAAAAGGTTTGAAGGTATTTTCGAAAAGCTATCGTTAATATTGAGCTGTTTGTCGTCCAAACACACGATAACTTACGAGTCATCATTAGCCAAGACTTAAAAAGATATTGCACGTGCGAGAGCCACCAATGTTTTCGGAACCCTACGGTCAATATGTTGGCTAAAGTTCGTGCGTCCTAAACTTGAGTACTGTATACAAACTAGCTCCTTATTGAAAAGAACAGTGAGCTTTTGGAACGGTTTCAGCGAACCGCGACCGAGCTAAATCATGGAATATCGAAGCTCTTGTATTTTATTCGACTGACTAAACTAATCTTACTTTTATTATCATATCGAGGAACCAGTAGGGATTTGATCATATCTTTCAAATTACTTAGTGATAAAATTACACCTGATATGCCCTTATTTTTCTCGTCTTCCAAAACGGAGAATTTTGGTGGACATACAAAAATATTTCACAAGCCCATAATAAATTACTTGTCAGTTGACTATCGACTTCCCCATCGAATCATCATCGAGTGGAATCTATTACCTCAACACGTGGTTAAGGCTCCATCTGTCGACACTTTCAAAATAACGTTGGATCAAATGGGGGACAACCACAGCCACTTGACCTCCTGTCTTTTCCAGGGCGAAAACTGAAACCGAGACGAACATATCGAGAAGCATTTAATCTCAGCTAGCTGACGGTTGTAGGACAGGTGTAGCACGGTGTACCAACTTGTGATATAGTAGGGACACGTGACTGCGCATCTTCAGCTGGGGTGCTTCCAGTAGAACTAAATAGGTTAGCATCAAATGTCGAAGACATACAGAACTATTTTTTTCGGTGATTTGTCTTCCACTAAATTGATAACACGCACCATGTTACGTTACGTACTCGCCTACTTACGCCTGTTACTCCTCGTGAAGAAACATAGGCCGCTAACCAGCACTCTCCATCTAACCCTGTCCTGGGCAATCCTTTCCAGTTCCTTCCAGTTGTTATTTATCCTTTTCCATATCTGCTTTTATTTCCCGACGTAATGTGTTCTTTGGCCTTCCTCTTTCCCGCTACCCTTTAGGATTCCAAGTTAGGGCTTGTCTCGTGATGCGGTTTGACGGTTTGCGTAGTGTATGTTCTATCCATTTCCATCGTCTTTTCCTAATTTCCTCTTCAGCTGGAAGCTGGTTTGTTCTCTCCCACAAATGGCTGTTGATGATTGTATCCGGCCAATGAATGTTAAGTATCTTGCGTAGACAGCTATTTATAAATTCTTGCACCTTCTTGATGATGGTTGCTGTAGTTCTCCAAGTTTCAGCTCCATACAGTGAAACCGTCTTGACGTTCGTATTGTAGATTCTGACTTCGATATTGGTTGAAAGTTGTTTCGAGTCCCATACGTTCTTCAATTGTAGGAACGTAGCCCTTGCTTTGCCAATCCTCGCCTTCACGTCTGCATCCAAGCCTCCTTTTTCATCGATGATGCTTCCCAGGTATGTGAAGGATTCTACATCTTCCAGAGTTTCGCCATCAAATGTGACTGGATTGCTGTTCTCCGTTTCGAATTTGAGGACCTTGATTTTCCCCTTGTGTATTCTGAGGCCTACTGATGCATAGACTGCTGCTACACTGGCTGTCTTCATCAGCATTTGTTCGTGTGTATGCGATAGTAGGACTAGGTCATCCGCGAAGTCCAAATCGTGTAATTGGTTCTGAGCTCTCCATCGTATGCCTTGTTTTCCCTCAGATGTCGAGGTTTTCATAATCCAGTCGACCACCAGAAGAAAGAGGGAGAGAGTAGACATCCTTGTCTGACTCCAGTCCTTACTTGGGAGGCGTCTGTCAGCTGTCTTCCATGCACGACCTTGCACTGTAATCCGTTGTATGAGTTCCGGGTAGTGTTGACAATCGTCTCATTAACTACATAGTATCGAAGACGTTTCCATAATGTTCTCCTATTTACACTATCAAATGCCTTTTCATAATCAATGAAGTTGATGTACAGTGATGAGTTCCACTCAGCTGATTGTTCGACGATGATCCGTAGTGTCTCAGTTCGGTCTGTGCATGTTTGTAGTTACTTCTACGTCTGACTTTAGTGCTTCAGCTGGTATATTTTCACATCCTGCTACTTTCCCATTCTTGATTTGTTTGATGGTCATCGATGATAGGAACATCGGGTGAAATCATTTCTGGTAAGTTACTGAACAATATAACCAACTATACCAAAAAGGGAAAAAAATGA